ACCCAAAGAGGGACCATAATTTTGACGACCACCCAAATAGAACAGGGCTTTGGGGCCCATTGTGCTATAATTAGAATAAGGAACCCCAAAAATTGCGTTGGTAATTGTTTAGGCCCCTATATTACACAACCCTTCCCTAAAGCCACGGCAGGTCTTGTCGAGGAATCTCGGTCTGGATGTGTTTCTCGTCGCCTTCCATCCCGACTGCCGCTTGGATTGCAGGGCTTCGGAATAGCGTCAGAAGTCGAAGAATCATAGTGTTACTAGATATTAATATAACCACAATAACGGTACCCAGAAGACTCGTTCAGCCATCACTAGTAATACCAAGAATATCTGAGAATTGTAGTAGGGCTATCGCTTCAATATACGCTAGACCATATTCCAATTAAGGCCTGGAGACAGAACGGGGTTCGCTTATAGGATGCAAAGACAGCAGCCGTAGACCCTGAAACCGTCAACCTCGAGCTATAGAATGCGAAACCCGCAAGGCACCTATATAGGCACCTATATACTCAAAGCCTACAAAACCCTCAACATGTGGAAAATACCTTAGGTGGAAAAGGTATGAGAATTAACCTACTAGATGAATATCAGCCACGTCTTCTGAAGTCAATTAAGGAAAATACCTGTAAGTGGAAGAGGTATCGGAAGCAACCTACTACATGGGTAGCTGGGACGGGTCTCAGGTGTTGCCGATGGCGAGGCGCTGACCACGGGAGACGAGGTCAGTCAAACAGTTCAGGAAGGGTTTGCGGTTTTGGGTTTAAGGTTTGGGATTGACTTACGGTTTAGATTTTGTGTTTACGGCTTGAGTTCAGCTTTACGATTGGGCTTCATTCTGTAGCCTGTAGGTCATGCCCAGCACCTCCCCAATACGAAACAAGCTTTCAGGCAAAGTCGCCTGAATCCATCCCCGCCTTTCAACGCCTGTTTTGGATTGATTAGGTGGTGTAACAGCAACAGCAGAGCAAGAGCAGGGGCAAGAGCAGAAGAGCAGACGCCGGAGCAACAGCAGGATCAATTTGGGGTTTGGGGTTGAGGGGTTTAGGGTTGCAGGGGCAAGAGCAAGAGCCCCGGCTTTTGATGCAGGAGCAAGAGCCAGAGCAGGGGCAAGCAAGATCCTCCCCAATGTGACAGTACCTTAACCTACCAAAAACTACTATTTTGTAGGGCACCTATAAATTCCATATTAGGCTTTATAATAGGAACCTACAGAAAAGTAGGTTTTGGTAGGTTAAGGTACGGTAGAGATAAACACACACCCTAGTAGTAACGCCGCTTTTCTTTTCGAGATTTTTTGGGCTAGGCCCTCCCCGTGTTAATCTTAAGGGGGACGGGATTATACTGTATACTCCTTAAAGCCGTATGTTGGAGCATCAGCCACCCTAAACCCTAAACCATCCTGAACTGGAGCTCTAAACCCTGATTCCCGAACGGTCGGTTTGGTTTTGGAAGTCTAAAGCTCACCCAGACCTAAACCAACCCCTGAACCCTCACGCTTTAGGGTTCAGGGTGCCCAAACTTATAGAACATCGTAGACTCCCCAATTACCCTAAACCCTAAACCCTAAACCCTAAACCCTAAACCCTAAACCCTAAACCCTAAACCCTAAACCCTACATTACAATAAGAGCCTGAATACTGTTCTGAATACCCACTGCTGAGGACATCTGTTGCAGGGTATTTGTACGGTTTAGGGTTTAGGGTTTAGGGTTTAGGGTTTAGGGCTCTTGCTATCCTTTAACAGTCCCTAAACCCTAAACTCTACACCCTGCAACCCTCAACCCGAAACCCTGAACCCTAAACCCTAAACCCTGCACCCTAAACTCTAAACCCTGAACCCCAAACTCTAAACCCTGAACCCTAAACCCTAAACCTGAAAGTCTGTGGATTGCAGGGTTCCGAAGCCTCCGGGCAGTCCAGGCCCTACAGTAGAGAAACCCAACGTGGTGCGTTAGGGTTTAGGGTTTAGGGTTTAGGGTTTAGGGTTTAGGGTTTAGGGTTAAAGCCCTCGTAAACCAAACCCCAAGCCCTAAACTTCCTAAACCCGAAAGCCGTTCAGAACACCTGAAGCCCTTATACTACAACTAAAAAGCCCTGGCGACCCTAAGTCGCTATCACCCTGAACCCTGAAGCTCTGAATCCCTCAACCAAAACCCTCAAGCCCTTATGAGATCCCTGAAACACCCTACAAACCCGAAAGCCCGCCTGACCACAAAAAAGCATAGCCTTGATAATACTAAACCCAAGCTCCTAAAGCCCGCACAGCCCTAAACCGAAAACCCTAAAGCCCTTACAACACTCATCTCTGAAACCTACTTGGAGGTTCATGGGTAGATTTCAGTGGAAGTTTCAGTTCCTTAAACTAGGTTTTAATTTTCGTTATCCTACACTTATAACTACCCATGAACCCTAAACCCTAAACCCTAAACCCTAAACCCTAAACCCATGAACCTTCAAGTATTACCTTTATAAAACCCAGGGGCCGAATTTCGATCCGAGTTTGGGAAAGGTTGCGGTTCAGTGCGGCGAAGACGTGCTGCTGGCGGTTGTGGAGGACGCATGTAGGAGCTCGGGTTTTAGGGCTTTTGAGGGTTTTTAGTGTTCTCGGGTTTTAGGGTCTACTTGGAGGTTCAGGAGTAGTTATAAGTGGGCTTTTAAGTAGGAAAACTATACTTATAACCGATATTAGAGGACTTATAATTCCACTTCTAGCTATACCCATGAGCCTCCAAGTAGGGGTTTAGGGTCTCGGGCTTGCGAGACTGCAAGACTTCAAGGATTGAGAGTGAGGCTTTTGCACTACATAGGTTCCCCGGGTTTAACGCTAAACCCTAAATCCTAAGCCAAGAGCCCTAAACCCTAAACCGTACCCTCTAGATCCTAAGCCCTGAACCCTAAACCCTAAATCCTAAATCCTAAATCCTAAACCCTAAACCCTAAACTCTGAACCCTAAAACCTAAATTCCTAACCACCCTGAACCCGAAACCCTAAGCTAACCCTATGCTTTAGGGTCCCAGGGTCCAGGGCCGGGGGTCCCGAGCTAGGGCTTGGGTCTATGGTTGCGAGTCTCTTTCAAGTAACCCTAGGGGTTTAAGGTTCAGGGTTTAGGGTTTAGGGGTTACTAAGGGTCCAAAGGACCTAATAATCATGTACTTGGGTTACGGATAGTAGTTTTGTAGGTTAGAATTCAGAAGAGTATATGACTATTAGGTACTTGGACCCGTAGGGTAACATAGGGGCCTCAATAGTTCGAATAGTGCTTAGGGTTCTATCATACTACAAGAATAGTAAGCAACCCCAAAATTTTATTCTAATTATTATTGGCCCCTACATTCTAGGGGCCTCATAATAATCAACTCCACTATTTTGGTGTTTCCAAATTGTAGTTACAGAATAAAGGAACCCCCAAACCCAATTCCAATTTATTGAGGATGTTGGTTTCAGATAACTGAGCTCCAGACAGTAGGGGACCCAAAGAAACACACATTAAAGGGATACCCCTACCTTACACATAGGCCCCATAGTAGTTCCTTTTTGTGGCTATCGGGCTTCATTATACGGGGGCTTATATGGGACATCCCTCTCCTGTTGTTTGTTTACGTGCTTTGTTTGGGGCCCCTAAGACGACGTCCTGTCTTTTGCTGTGGGTTTTCTAGCTGACGGCTTCGGATCCATCCCTACAAGGGATGCTAGGAGAGACTTCTTACGCCATGTTATAAGCTGATTATGTCGCTGTATAGATTCTGTAGCTAGAACTCTCACAGCTTGTCTTAGAAGCCTACTCGCGAAGGCCACTGAAATTTTAAAGTAGGCCTTAAACCCTATACCAAAACCCGGTAGAAACCACAAAAATCGCCTTTATAAGCCGTTATGAAGCTCCAAGCCCCGCTTACTAAGCCAACGGACCCTTCAATTTCAGTCAAACCCCTTTACGAATTTTTGGCGCCCTTACAGAACCCTTACAAGAGCCTGGAAAGCCCCACGCTCAAAACCCCACACCCTAAACCCTCAAGATGTCAGGCAACTACTTACAGTATGGTTTCTGCTTTAGTTTTGGTTTCTTTGTTTACGCTAAGGCTTTTATTGCTGTTATGGGCTTTCTGGGGGAAGGTTTGGGCTTTGGGGGCTAAGGCTTGGGCTTTCACTATGGGGTCCATGAGCCTTAGGGTAACCAACTTTGTAGTTCGGATCCTATAAACCCTAAACCCTAAACAACCGACTGGGCATTTGGGGCGGTTCAACTCTGGGACGTGAATGCAAGAACATCATGGTCACTCGTTGTTTCACCCTACGAGCCCAAGGTGGCGAGTGCGGTCGTAAAAGTCCGTCTACCGTAGATCAAAAAAAAACCCTAAACCCTAAACCCTAAACCCAAAGAAGGAACTACAATGGAGAC